TAGCACATGGCTTGTGCCTGCCTGTGCAAAAGGATGGAGAATGGTAATGCACGCTCCTTTTTCTAGCAGCGCAAAGTTAGTAAGAGCTGCAGCCTGACTAGCAGGTATGGATTATGAGACTGCAGCATCTCAGTCAGCCACAGACACCAGTGAGTGAGTTAACAGCCCATTGCCACTTCAGTGGAATTCTTTCACTGTCTCAGTGTCCCTTAGACTTGTCAGCATGAGGACTCCTTGCTGTATCAGTCCAACAGCAATTACACTGCTCTCCTGAACCTGGCATCTAAACTAGCAGCTTTGTCTGTAGCAGGTGAGTTAATTCAGCCTCTGTTCAATGAGGGAGAATGCACAGTGAAAGGCTGATAATACCAGACTGTGCTCTGTGTGCTCCATCTGGGGATTTGTTTTTAGCTTCACGTAACTTCAGAGTGGCTTGATAAGGCCAGGAAGAGAGACTGTGAATGGGTATACCCTATTAATGAAATAGAGCAGAATCCTGGGGATATCTTGTGTGCATGTGAGATCTCTTTGTTTCCGATGCTGACAGGCAGCTTCAGCAGGAATACTGACAAACAGGTAGTTCAGATGAGGCCCTGAAACTCATTTGGGGATAAATTACCATTGAGGCTGTAGCTCACCAGGTCCCTAGGGAGGAACACTGCAGACATTATTCAGTAATATTTCTCCACTCTTCGTAGGCAGCAGCTGCTTAGTGGCTGGAATTTACTAGCAGACTTTGATCTGTTTTAATATCTACTTGTTTACAGAAGAGGGGAGAGAAATTCCTGGTGGGTGTTGACGCAGTTGTGGTATCACTGAATGTATAGCTTTTTCCTGAAAGAGTGTCATTTTCCCTCCTAAGGTCTCTGTGTTAGATTTGGCAAAGTGACAGAGAGGAGATTCTTTCAGAAGACTTTAAGACTGCTCTGCTCCCTGCACTTATGCATGGGCTTGTGGGTGGTCTCAGTAGAGCCTCCTCAGATGTGTTACAGGGGGTCTGGCAATGGACAAGCTTGGTAATAGTCCCCAAAGAAGACTTTGTGGCCAAAGTATTGTACTGAGTAGGTGCTGTGGCTTCTCAATCCACTGCCCCTCTTGGTGCTTGGTGAGGGAGGTTTGTAGTTCTCTTAACAGGAGTTTTCTGTGCTTGACTGCTGAGAGAGCTGGTTTGAGATTAAAGCCAGATCTGCCTGAGGAACCAGCCATGGCACCCACCTCTGTTGGGGAGGTACTGCTGGCTGCTCTTTTGGCACTCAGAGGGCAATACTGTTGAGGCTTTGTCCTGGGATTGAGATGACAGTAGACATCTCCTCTGGGTCTAAGGCAACGTAGGCACTGTTCAGAAAGGTAACATTTGAGCCATTCACCTTAGTCATGCAGTCTCACTGAGACTGATTTGGATGCTGAGCACTTATCAGAAATATAGGTCTCCCCTAGGCAGGGCATGCTCAGTCTGACCACAAAAGGGTGAAGTATGTCCCAGACCACAAGGCTTGAGAGTCCAGTCCACTAGTGACACCAAGCATCTTACTTTACAATGCAAAGTGATTGACTGCAGATGAATCACTCTTCTTATTAACTTTCTCATCTTACATGAGAAAAAAACTACAAAATTAAAAAAAAAAAAGACAAAAGTTCCTAATCTAAATCACTATCTCTTTGTTCAAGAAAAGTCACTGGACTAGATGCTTTCTACAGTCTCTCTCATGGCCACAGGCAGTGATTTGGAAAAGAGAAGGTTTGTGCCTTGGTCATGCGCTTGCCTTGGCAAAAAACAACCTCCACTTGAATGCCAAGAAGCTGGGACCTCTGCCAACATGCTCTCTAACAAGCAATGTGAGAGCTGCAGCTCTGTGGCCTGTGGGATTACTGTGTCTTGTATACTTTTGCTTCAGCATATCTCAGGCCCTCTGACAGCAAATCACCACTGCTATAAACAACCAGGAGTTTAATATAATTCAGATTATATTATCTATGTAAGTGGCAGTAGCTATTATGTCTAAGGCTCTAACTATCCTCTGTGCTAAATAAATTCAAGAATTTTAAGGCAAAAATGTCACTTTGCCATACTGCTTCCAAGAATGATTGCTTCTTGCCTTTCAGAGGGGGTAGGGAGCCTGCCAGGGCACTATGAGTTTTGAAGTAATGTCTGTCATGGGACAGGAAAAGAGCCAGCACAGTCCATCATTTGCCATCTATGCCCTTGTGTCTGTTGCCTATTAGGTCTCCTTTGCAATGCTGAGCAGAACGAGACAAGATTCTTATAGGACTGGGATGATTGTAATGGGATGTCTGATGGGACAGTATATCACCCCTGTGCTTCTGTGGAACAGTGACAATTTTACCACAGTGAGAGGCAGGGGAAAGGTTGGGCTTGCACTGAACCAAAAGAATTGTTGCCTAAAAAAAGAAAATCCAAAACAAGCAAGCAACTTTTGCACATTATTTGTATGGAGAAGGCTTTTCATGAAGAATGTGGTTAGAATTGACATACATATATATATATATATACACATATATATATATATATATATATATATGTGTGTGTATAGATATATATATAGATATATATATATTTCCCCTGAGAAGCTTAGCACTGATTGGTAATAGATCAGATACTTAGCCACTGAAAACAGGGAAATTGAACCAGGGCAGCAAAATAAAAATCAGTCTGACTTTTAGTGTGTTTAAAGTGTTTCTGTTCAGAACTGACTTTTGCATGAGTACTTAGGAAAGCTTAAGATCATGAAGTTTGAGTTCCATGAACCGAACTCTGTCTCCCATTCTCCTGCTATTCATAAAATGACAAGAACGCCTTCTATGAACAGAATGATTTCAGATCTTCCCTGCCTTACCTGTTGCTCTAACCACATTCTTTTGCTTTACCATTTGCAAAATTATTCCACAGGATCACATACTATAAAGATATTATTAGCCTGCTCACTACAACATTTCTGTGACTGCTGTCTTTCTTGGAGTATGCTAGTAAAACTTTTACACCATGCTATCCAAGATTGTGTAGGGGACACACTTGTTACATGAGAACTGTTTTTAAGAAGGTAATGACTCTTAAAAAATAAAAAGGAAGAAAAGAAAAAAGGGAGAGGGAGTTTATAAAATAGTCCCTTAGATTATAAACACAGATCATAACTCAGCCTGGCAAGGATAAAGGTAGAGTCCAGATACCTCAAACAGTTCTCCCAAGTGTCTAGACTGCAGCAGTCCTAGGGCTGGAAGCCAATAATGGGTTTCACTGGTAAGAGGGAGAATCTCCCATTTCTTCCTTGCTGCATCTCTGAGTAAAGCCCAGCATTTCAAGATCCAGTTCGAGATTCAGTGAGCCACGCTGAAGCCACTGAATCATATGTAGTGTGGGTAGCGGGTCAATAAATTTTATCTTCTCTAGAAGAGAAAATCCTTATTTGGAAGAGGCTCCTCTTTTTTTCTGAGACTAAATTTAAAAAGCCGCAGCTGTTTACAGCTTTTCTCTCTTGAGTTTAGAATATTAAAATAAACTTAAAAAACACAGAGGTGATTAAGTATTTGTGGAAAGAAAGAAACATTCATCATACAGATCAACACTTTAGCATGATAATCTCAAATTTGGGGTACAGTCATCCTCTCTCCCCCTGCCTAAGATTAGCTACAGAATAGTCAGGCTGGAATTTATTTAATTTTAAAAATTAAGAGATGCAAAAATAAATAAAATGTAAACTCAGCTACGTTAATTTCCAGGACAGGACTATGGTTATACAACGAAGTACGCAGAACACTTTGCTTTTTCCAAAATTCGCTGTCCTCCTAAACTGTTTGTTCCTTAGGCTAAGAACAAAGAGATGCTGGGTCTTTGCAGCCTGGAGAACCATTTATGCTCCTCTTCTTTGTAGCAACTTTTTCCATACTTGAAATAATTATCATGACTCCTCTCAATTATTTCTTTTCTACATTAAACAAACCTGTATCTTTTGATCTTTCCTCCCTATTCATGTCAGGACAGCTTTTATGCAAAGGTGCAAACCGCTGCATACATTAAACATGTATTGCAAGCTCTATGCTTTCCAGGGGCATTAACCTGAGGGAGTAATACCTGGCACAGATTCCACAAAGCAGCTCATTTTAGCTGTTCCCATAAGACCGTATGATGTGAAATGTGCTTGATCTCTGATCTGTTTCTACCACAGAACAGATTAAAGGAAAAACACAAACCAAAACAACACAGGCAAGGAGTATCAGAGGAAAAAAAAATATTAAGAGACATAGACTGCCTTTGTATCATAACATATCCTCTAAAATAGTTAAATGTTAATTGCCAAGTCCTCATTAAAACAAGTCTCACAAGACAATGTTGTCACCATAGCACATCTTCCCAGAATTATGAAGCCTGGGATCCATCAAAAGCAACATCACTTCATGCTTTACTTGACATCCAGCACTTCCACCTCGCCTTCCCAAGCGGGCACATGAGGCTGGGTCTTACTGCAAAGAGTTTCAATACACCAGACACAGGGCCCTGACACAGCGGCTTCCTCACTGCCTCAAGGCTGATGCTTGGGTAAGAGAGGAGTGCATTTGCAGGGGAGAGGATTAGCACACAGAAACCAACATGTGACTGAGCAAGGGTGGGGAAGTCTGCACAGGAAAGTTAATATTAAGAGGCACGGAAGCTTGTGAAGTTTGTGGAGCCATACGAAAAGCAGGTGCCTGCCTGGGCACTTAGGCTATCAGAGAAAGGATAGGAGACAGAGTGCCATAATTATCTTGTGACTGGTGCAAATGTTGCCAAGAGCCAGCATGCTGCAGTACTAAGCTGATTGCTCTCTCCAGACAAGTTGCAGAGCACTGAGCACCCAGAGCCACAAAGAGAAAGCAAGTAAATCAGCAAGGGGCTGTCAGTCCCCAAGCACCAGTGTGGTGCAGAGTTGTATCAGCATAAAGGTGATGCTCTGAGACAAAAGCAGAGAGACATTCCTCTGTTTATAAACACACTAGAGACAAACAGATTACTGTAGAAAGTATTTTTATTTCAGAATTTCACTCACTCTGTCACAGACCATGCACTGAAGACTTCCCCCCTTTGCAAACCCACAGCCTACAGGCCTGGAAGAGATGGGGCATCATTTCACTTCTCACTGTGAGTACCCACATGCTAAGAGTGAGGGCCCTGATGGCAGCTCACCAGAAGGCAGAAAGCAGCCTCTTGTTTCCATAATTGTTTTTAAACACAGGAAAAGAAATCCATCAGACTTGAAGGATTAGCGGTGGAGCTCAGCAGCAGCGAAAACCCCCAGCTGAGCAAGTTAGTCCTTGTCCTGTGGTTACAGGGAACAAAACAACCATCTCGTGGGAAACTCACGTGAGCTAAGCTACAGAACGCACCAAGGCATTCTTGGAGCCCAGGCAGCAACCAAACACATGCTCTGGGCCTCTTACAATCAATTTGTCTCTGAGCTGCTCTGCCAGGAAGGTGGCCGGGAGCTGCCCTTTTCACATTCAACTTTAGGTCCCCCTGCTCTGGGCTACAGCTTTGACTAGGAAGGAGCCTACATATAAGACAGCCCTCCAGGCTGTATGCCACCATCATACTGCATTTAATACCAAAAGGTGCCAGTTGGAAAGACTCTGCAACAGTCTGTTTGACCCACAGGGCGGGTACAGCATTTGTGTAAGTTTCCTGCATACTAACCCTACTCCTTCCTTGTCTCTGTTGCCCTTATGCATGACCCTGCTCTTGAAATACTCCTAGTTGCAGTGTCTCCATGACCCATTATGTCTTTGGCCTTTGCTGAGACTGCCACTGCCAGGGCAGCTGTTGCTCACTGTGGTGGCTGCCTGTAGGAAGTGAGCACCCCTAAGAACAGGCTTGCAGCTAGCTCAGAGGGGAAAAAACTGAGATGAAAAAATGATGGAAGTGATTCAAGTGAAGTAAGAGTCAAGTCTACAGAAAAGGTCAAAAGGTAGCTTCAGTCTCCATTTGATACACAAATTGAGCTCAATAGCAGCAAGAAATGGCCATAAAATATTAATTAATTAGGTTGACAGGAAGATGTAAAAGCATTTATATAAAAAATTCTATACAATTCTATGTATGTGGTAACTGTTCTCGAGCCAGCTCCCAGTGGCTTCCTCCTGATTATGTCTTGCCTTTTTTGTATCTATAGTTTTAATCATTCCAAACCATGTTGCAGCTCAATTCTGTGTGAAGACCATGGTATTGGAGTCAGCACCAAGTGAGAGGTGAGATCACACTGAAGAAATTAACTTAGGGGGAACTCCTGACAACCCAGATATTTTAATATTTTTGTTGACCTTCAAGTAATTAAAGGGGAATTTCCCCCAGGAACCTATAGGCTCCAAGTCTCATCTGTCTGCTTTTAGGGTAGGAAGGCTGACATCAGAAAGGCAGCGGAGGGCAGGGAAAGGTATAGGGGGAAAAAATCTGGGAACCAGAGTGAAGAGCAATCAACAACTGACTGACACGTGACTGCTGCAAAACTTACAAAACACAAAATCATACAAACAGAATTTCTGTTAACCTTTTATAGACTACAGACTTTATATACACACACAAACTTTAAAGTATGCATCTGGCAGTCTAGAAAATACCAGTACCCTAAGGATTAAATAATTTAAAATGCAATGTTGTGTTATCACTGTATACAGAATACTATCTGACACATTGGCTAAAATGGACGGATTGTCTGAGAAAGATGCTCCCTCCCTCATCTCATCAGCACTGCCTCTAAAAAGAAAATGACGGCTAAATACTCCTCTGTGGTTCCATTCCTGAAACTCACCTTGAAACTTCTCTGTCAAAGGAAGGAGAGGGGAAGTCCTGAGAGGAAGGGAGGAGAAAAAGATTCTTGCTCCCTTCAAACTCTGCTGCTGCAGCGCCCCTCTCCATTGGCTAGGGAAGCTGGACAGCAAAGATGCTAAAGCTGGGAAAAGGCAAGTATGTTTCCATAACAATACCTATGCTGGACACAGCTTGAGACTCAGGAGGACACCCTTCCTCCCCATTTTTGAAGGCAGAAGGCCAGAAGGCTTAATGCAGATTGTAGAGTCTACAGTGCAGCAGCTGCTCCCCAAAACCCATACTGCAGTCCAGCAGCAGCTGGGAGGGCAGCCAAGGGAGAATGGCCTGACAGCAGCCATCAACAGGAGTGGGCAGAACTGCATTACCAACAGGTCCAAAGAGACAGAATGGGAAGGTGTGCCCTCACCAGCTTTCCAAGAGTTTGTAAACCAGGAGCACTGGAAAGTCAGCACATGGGAATGAGGAAGGGGACGAACAGCTTCAGTTCTGAGATGGCTGGGAATGGGACTAAAACACACTGAGAGCAGACGGCAAAGCCAACATATCTCTAAATGCCAGCTCTGCATATGTACCCTAGTATCAGTGTATGGGACAAAACCTGGATGATGACACCAGTTCAGTCCTATCACCTTCAGAGACAAGTGGTGAGAATCTGGCTTACGTGTGCTTATTACAAAGTCCTTTGAGGCATGCAATCTTGCATCCACCTCCTATAAACCAGAACAGCTATAAGCTCTTGGGGAAAAGATTTAAAAAAAAAAAAAAAAAAATTAAAAATCCATGTTCCCATTTGTGTCTCCCACCCCTCCCCCAGAATCAGCTTCTCTTCCTCTAGGCCAATGACATCTAAAGAGCCACCATTCTCCATTCCCAGGGCCATTCTCACCAGCAACACCCAGCAGATCTGGCTAGGCAGGAATGGCAAGCCCTGCTCCTTCAGCCTCATCACAGAGGCAGACCACAAAGGTTTCTTCCTCCCCTATGACTGCTTCAGTGAGAATTCTCTCACTGAGAATTCTGAGAATTCAGTGAGAATTCTCTCACTGAGAATTCTCAAATTCTGAATTGAGAGAATTTGGTGAGAAGCTCGATAGTGGAGGTTGTGCTGCAGCAGACTAGACAAGCCTCAACCCTTACTCCTGAACCCAGCTTGCAAAGGATGAGAAGGCTCTGTAGGAGCAGGAACCATGGACATGGCCACTCTCCTATGCCAAGCTCTACAGCCCTAATACTGCCAGTGTAATCAATTATTCGCTCAAAAATACAAAAAATAACCCTATCCAAAACATCTCAGTCTACCCTGCATGACTGGGTCAAAGGGACCAGGGAAAAAAAAAAAAATTAAAAAAGACACAGTGTAGTACAGCAGAGAAAAAGAAACATAGGGCAAAGTCAGACCGGAGGAAATTAAGGACCTCAATGCAAGTCTGCTAAAATCACTGGATTCACAAGCCCAGTTCCATCTTCTTCAGACCAAACCAGACTCACTGCAGTAAGTGTACTACAGGAGAAAGAAGTGCATAGTTTGGTTTTATTTTTGGTAGACACTTAAACATCCACAGAATTTATGGGAAGATCTTAGGGCTGCAATTTTAGGCTCTTTTTCCTAGCCAATTGGTACTTGCTGGGAGAGATGATGGAAATGGACCTGTAGCACCAAAAAATTCAGTGGGAGCACCAACTCCACAGCAGAAAATAATAATGAACCAAAAGGAGACAGAGAGAGAGAAAGAAGTGGAGGAGACATATTTCGCAGTAATCCAAGTCCACCTCGGCTAAACCCTCTCAGTATTTCCCTAGGTAAGGCCTCATTACGTCTGCAGCAAGACCTCTGGCTCTGACAGAGAGCTGTAGAGAGTATAGCCCAACTCATCCACTTCTTCAGGGGTGAGCTCTGAAAACAAGTTCACCTTGGGGTTCAGAGCACTAGGGAGGACACCTGCCTCCAAATAGCGGATCAACCCCTTCAGCGCCTGCAAGAAGCGATCAGCCAGCATGTCCTGGGACCAGTCGGACTCTTCTTGGGATAGGTGTAGGATGACATTGGTGAGCTGACTGGCAGTGAGGTGACCCAGGGCTGGGTTTGACTTGCATACTGCTTTAAAGATCTTCAGGCACAAGCAGCGGCAGCCAGAATCACACTGGTCCAGGGCCCGGAGGCGAGCTGTTTCTGCTGGCCGCAGGCTCAGTCGCCACAAATTGTCATTCTGGGCCAATCGATGTGGTTTGGCCACAAGGATGATGTCACCCAGTGTCAGGGATGGTAGGAAGTCAATAAAAAGATGCCGTTCTGGATCATACTGGACTTCCAGCGTCAAATCTGATGGGGGAGCTGCTGGACGGATCACATAATCCAAAAGGGTCCCAATTGCTGGCCAGTTGATGGAACCAGCTACAACTTTCTCAAAGGTGTCTGCTACAGCTTTGGGGGAAAGGTAACCTCCCACCACACAGCGGTCCCAGTAGCTGCTCCCACGGGGAAAGTATTCTGGGTTTTCCCGACGCACCAAGTAGAAGCCAGGAATGTTCATGATTGTGTCCTCCCCAGGGATGCATGACCACAGGTTCTGCTCCAGCATCAGAGGCACAATGAGCTGGATGTGGTCAGCTGTCACTACCTTTCACAAGAGAGAAAAGTTGTTAAGAACAGGCTTTCTCTCTCCACACTCAGTTTTATTCATCACCTTTAGAGAGCCTTCTATTCAAAGGAACTTGGAATAAGGATTCAGCTGTCTCACTCTGCATGGGATTCACAGCCTCCCTTTGTCAAAAAACATGCTGAAGAACTATTTCCCATCATCAGTGGGATAACTCCAAGGTATAACCCAAGCTAGAGCTTATGTGTTATGTACTGTTTAGAGACTTTTAATTACTTCAGGACCTGACATGGACTGCATATAGATGAATCATATGCCTCCTATTGTTTGAAGTCCACTCCTTGGATGTGAGATGCAGCTGACCCGGGGCACAACACCACCACATGGTAATTTAAAACAGGAGGCAGAGTATTAAGTTTCTTGACAAGCTTAAATTGCCATGGTTTAATTATCCCATGTTATAACTAGGTACTGCCCTCAGCCACATTGTTTGGAAAAAGGTCATTAAAGATCCCTTTTCACCAATGTGATTAAGACCCCAGATCTATGTTTCACTGGATACTTGACACTCCATTCCAGAGCTCTGACTCAAACAAAAAGCGTGCCTCTGAATCACTCACTATAGCCATGGGCATCTTGCCACCATCAGGGAGATATGCAGCAGGGACTGCTGTCCAATCCAGGTCTGTAAAAAAAAAAAAAAAAAAAAAAAAAAAAAGAGTAGGGAAGACCTACGTGAATACACAGGAGTTCTAAGGGAATATCGTGTATTTGGAAGGATTTAGGAGGAGATAGAAGGGATATAGAGAAAACGGACGCCTATGGGAGAAACAGCAATAAAAAACACAGCTAAAGGGAGAGATGGAGGGGAAGGAAAGAAGGGCTGAGATAATCCAGAGAAATAAAACAGCAAAAAGTAAATGCTTTGCAGACAATACCAGAGCAGCCTGGTCATGCCTGTTCCAACAGTACTGCAAAAATCAACACCTGGCTCCACAGTGGGAAAGGCAACACCAGGAGCCTTATTACAGAGAAATGTTGTGCTGAGCCAGCACTGCCACAGGAAAGCCTGAAATGGCCCTGCCTAGTCAGCCTTCTGAAAAATGACCCATCACGCAGCCCCAGGAATTACCTGCAGATCATCATACAGGCTGCCGCTGAGGTACATGTCACGCAGGGGCATGTCCGGCAGCTTGGCACGTAGGAAGCTGCGCAGCTCAGCACAGATATCCACAGCTGCTTGCTTGGCCCGGGCCTGCTCATCTGCTGGGATAGCTACCTTCCTCCGATAATAAGCAAAGAGCTTTTCTTGCAGAGACAGACGAAGGCGGGATTTTTTCAGCTCCACTTGACTCCTCTTGGCAGATGGCCTGGGTTTTGTGGGTCGGAAAAAGTCTGCAAGACAGAAGGGCAACTGTTGATCATCTGCAGTGTTTCACTGTGAAGTGATCCACAGAATCTGCATCGCAGAAGTGCAGCCTCCTAAGTCTCAAAAGCTTTCAGCAGACATTTTGCATGCTCTACACAGACACCAGTCAAAAAGGAGGTGCTGAGAAACTTCAAAAGATACTACTATGAGCATCAGAGCAGCTGAAAACAAGTTATTAGATTTGAAATTTAAGCAAGACTAATCCCATGTACCAGGAAGTAATTTTAATGGCTACATGGACAGTACCTCAGTTCAATGTAATCAAAGATTCAACACTGTTACCAGTTCAGCAGCTTTCAATATGATACCAGACCAGTGGATAAAACACTCTTGAACAACCATCACGACCTCATTAAGTTTTTAACATTATAATGGATTTTTACAAATTATCAGCAAACCCCAGTCCTGACTAGGTTATGAGAGCAGAGATCATGCTACCTGGAAATGAAACAGTTGTTAGGAATCTGATCAACACTTACCAGGATGGCAATATCTTGGGGCCAGCAGAGCTCAGGCAATCATAGCCCCACTGAAAATTCCCCTCAGTTTCACTGGCCGAAGAACAGAAAGCACACTCTTAGGCACAAAACAGCAATACAGTGCTTTATGCTGCCAACTGCGTTATTAAGCAATGTCTAACCTGCACAGATTCTTGAAGCCCCTTTTTTTCTGACTGGTTTCCTAAAGAAATAAGCCAATGCTTCCCATCTATATTTCAGACCTCTCTTAATATGGACCAAGAGTTTCAGAAGTTATCAATGAGAAATAAGGAAGAATAACAGATCTAAGAGATCTGTGGAAGGGCTGTGGTATGTAATGGGTGCAGGAGAAAGCCCCAAGTCAGTGGCCCCATTAAGGCAATCAGCTGTTGCACATTTGTGTGACAAGAGGCATTTGGCCACGCAGCACATGCAGAATGGCTGATGAAGCTGCGCACAGACCCATCTCGCCTAACCTCAGCAGCTGCAGTCTTGTGTCCCACTGGGGTCTTCTGGAAAGATTTCAGGTTTTGTGTTAAACGGAAATAGCCAGCAAAACCATAGGGAACCAGACTTCATTGCCTGTTCATGAAAAAAATGTAGTTTTCCATCTTACATTTTAATTTATTTTTAAGTCAAGACTGCAATATGCCATCATCAATGGTTTTATTTCTCAGTTTTCATCTTTGGGGACTCCAGTCAAATGATCCAGACCCCATTTAACACAGCTGTCTAGTTATTTAATGTTTCCGAAGCAGAAAATCCACTGCCATCCTGAAGCTGACTTTCTTGCAGAGAATCTGGAAATTAAATTAAAAGCTTGATCCTGATTTTTATTTTAAATCTCCAAGTGTAAATCTCCTGAAGTGGCCAGGGATAGAAAGTAATAATCAGTGAGAAAAAAACCCCAAACAAATATAACAAACACTGAGGGACTCTAAATCTAACTCAGTGATAAGCAGCCCTAAGAAGCAAACAGCATTACAGAAATTATTAGGAAAATGGTAGAAATAATACAGAAAATACTTTTATAAATTACTATTCACAATTTGAATATTCTCCTCTCAAAAAGACAAAACCAAACTGGAACGGTCAAAAAAAGGCAAAGAGCTTGAAAAGAATGGAATGGCTTTTTATGGGGCAAGATTGCACAGGTAAGTATCCAGCTTGAAAGAGAAAAGACTGAGGGAGAAAAAAGCTTAAGACCATGAAGTCATGAGAGGAATGAAGAATGCAAATAGATGACTATTATTCACTAGTTCCTGATCCAACCTCTAATTCTTGGTTACCAGTAGACCTGCTTAAAAAAAAACCCTATCAAAATCCTGGGCTAGACAGAGTATTCTCTTTCCTGTATTCCTTTAACTGAATACAAAGTTTATGGGCCTGGATGATTCTGTAACGCAGGAGTATAACCCTGCTCCTTACCTGTGTCTGTGGCCGAAGGATCAGTAGGAAGGGTCTGCAGAGAGCGGCTGACGTTAGTCTTCATGTCCTGGGTCAGTAAACGTGAGGAGCCACCCAACCAATTTGGCTCTTCCCAGCTTCTCTTTCCCGACTGGCTCAAGCGAGTGGGGCTGCTGGGAGCACTGATTGCCCGGTCGTACATCTAAAGCAACATCACCAGGCACAGTTTGAGTTGTTAAGGGACCAACATTTGCATTTTACCCAGCCTACTGCCAGCATCCTGGGTCTTTGTTTCCCACTCCTTTCCAGGGCCCCCATGCTCAGGTTCCACCCCACCGTCCTGCACGCTCACTCACCCGTTTGACGGCCAGTGTGGCAATGCCCAGCATAGCTGCTCCACCCACGCCCAGCACAAGCCGGGCATTGGACAGCACAAAGTCAATGGCTGTGCCAATGCCGTTGTCATCTTTTTTCCCTTTGCGCTGCCCAGCGCCTGCCATCTCACCTGGAAGGAGCAGGAGCATTACACAAATGGGTCAAAGCTTGCAACTCTAACGGTTCACTCCCTTCTCCTCCACCCCATCCTCAGGGCTCTTGGGGTCTTAGCACACAGCTATAAGAAGGGACCACCTAACCCTGCAGCCTCTTTAATCATATTCCTTTGAGGAGCTGCTTATTCCCAGACACGCCAGAACAATACTGACCAAGATCTGCAATGACAACATTTCTTTGCTTCCAGCTCCATTTATGACCTGAAGAAAACCCCAGATTTAATGTGGGGCTTCTAATCATTCATGCAGGTTTAACTGTGCAATCATCTAATGCTTTTTAAAAAATAAAGTAAGATTTACTTCAGCAATATTCTGCAATAAAATCCTGTATATTATTATGATAAAACTCTACGACCATTCAGCTCTTCTTTTAATTTGTGTTTCTCAACCAAAGCATGGCTTTTTTAATGCCAATTTATTTTCCCATTCTCAATCTAATGCATGCAATTTTGCTCACAGGGGTGGCAATGCAGATACTTGTCTGTTAACAAATCACAATCTTCCTAAGAGTTGACAGGCAGTCTCGGCATCCACTCAGACTCATTTCTGAGATTCATGGCTGGTCCCAGATACTTCAAAAGACACCCAAGAACCAACAATAGAGACCACAATGTACCACAAAGAGAACAGCTCCCTTGCTTTCACTGGACATTTATGCCTGCCCTCAAGGCTGGTGGGTTTCACTCTCATACAAGTCATGTATAGCATGAATATTAGTATTTTCTTGCACGTGTACTTTAGTTTTCCTCAATTCCCATTTAATCTGATCTTGATATTTAAATGTAAAGAGTCTCCCTGGCCACCTACATGTGTAAAACACACTTTGCCACTGCTGTACCCATAGATGGATCCTCAGTGAACCTACATGAAAACACCAGAAAACTCTTCCAACCTGACTCAAAATCTGTTTCCTAAGTCAGTTTCAAAGGTTCAGCGCCTACTTGACTTGGGTGGTTTAAAACTATCCTTTGGTTTTCTGCGACCAAGCTGAAACCTCAGGAGTAATGTTCCTGCCTTGATGAACCAAGAATCCCGTCACTCTTCATTCTCAGAACAAAACCACACTGTCACAAAGTTAACTGTAATAGTAGCATTAAGAAAATGGTTATATCATTGTAAACGACCTACCTGTGACCTAATGCATTTGTAAAGAGAACAGGAGAGCCCTCCTGGTGTGCTGTGGAAGCACCTTCCAGGCTTCTTCAAGACAGTGGTGGGCAAGGAACATTAAATCACATCCTTTGGTTGGCGAGGAGATTTTGGAAGGAAGAGGGAAGTGGGGCCAAAAGGAGCTACAGGGAATCTTTAAACCAGGCCCCCAAGTTTGCTCTGTAGGAAAGCTTGCCCTTTCTCCAACTGCCTTTCTTTGTCCTCTAGCTGCTGCAGCTCCCGGTTTTTACGGAACTCACGGCGGATGACAGCAAGGTAGAAATCCTGGTCAGTGTAGCGCAGCCCACGGCCCTGGCGCAGCAGGGCCCGATAGAGGGTCAGGACAGCCTCCCGAGACCACGCTGCCATGGGGGACAGGTGCGTGGACGGGCGACCTAGAGAGAGGTGACAAAGTGCGGGATCCGAGTCGGCTTTTCTCTCCCCGAGGGACGCACCGGCCGCCATCTCCCCCTCCATGCAAGGCCCCACATACCGCCGCCCCCCGGGAAAGGACGGGACAGCCTCTCCACGGGCGCACAGGGAATAACGAGCTCTCTAAGGGCACCAGACCGCACGTCCCGGTGCAAGGGAATCGGCAGGCCCCGTGACTTGGCCCTTCCCGTGGGGGGCCGCCCCAGGGCCGCTCGCACCACCCGCTCCCCGCCGGGGTCCCGAGCTGGGGTTGAGCCCACGGAGGCTCACGGGGA